CTGATGCCCTCAGGGCCCGCAGCCTTTGTCTGCTCCTGATGTTCCTGATAGAGGACACAGAGCTTGCTTTTTACCACTCCTCAGAGGTGTGCCGAGAGCTGTGGCAACCACCACAGAGGAAGCTCGTGACTGGGTAGAGCAGCCACCAGCAGATCTTTCCGGGTCTGGCTGCATACCAGGCCCGCGGGAAGAAGCCCCAGAGCCCTTCTTTGACCTTGTGTGTTATGTGACTCTCCTCACGCAGAGGAGGGCTTGGGAAGAAGTTGGTGCTCCCATCCAGACAAAGGAGCAGGCTTCTTCTCCGACAACACCGAGGGTTGGAACTCCACACTCGAGCAGTTCTCTCTTTCTGGGGTGTGCAAGGGACACCCTCGGCTGGGAGCCACAGACCCCAGGCTGAGGGCTGACCTGGGGTCTTAGGGTAGGCCTCGTTTCAGTCTGTGACCGCCCCTCCTGACTTTGACATCAGCAAGTATCATCTTGACACTCCATTGTCTTTGGTTCCCCTCTAAGCCCATCCAAGCCCACTATTATAAATACTCTGGGGTTGGAGGCCGGGTGGGTGGGGGGGAGAGAAGAAAAAGATGATATTAAAGGGAAAGTCAGAGATGGCCCATGAAGGGCGAGACCCCTGTTTGATACCCAGGCCCAGGTTCCTGGCCTTTGTCATTTAAGCCCTAGGAAGGGAGACAGACATGGAGAGGGGCAAGGGTCCCCTGAGCAAAAGTTGGAAGTTCCTGGGAGGTAGGGTGTAGGGGCTGGGAGCTGGCTCCTTTGACCCCTTGTCTACTGTATTAGTCCGGATTGACTAGTAAAACAAATTCATAGATACTCCAATGTGCAAAAGAAAGAGCTTTATGTAAAAGAGTGATTGTCTGTTAAGAAAATACCCCAGCCCTGTCCAGATCAAGTCCATAAGTCTGTTATTAGCCCATATGTCCGATAACAGTCTATAAATTCCTCTTCCAATTCACACAATACATGCAATGACACCAAATGAGTGCAGGAAGATCACAGGCCAGTGGGTGGAAAGTCTTGTGGATCCAGTGGCAGTGGAAGCATCTCAGTGCTGGCGTGGGTCTCCACATGGCTTCTCTAGCTCCAGGGCTCTGGCTCCATCAGTGTAGCTCCATGCAGCTTGTCAACAGGAAGACGAACCAGAAAGAGTGTGTGTCCCGCTTCCTGGGAGGAAGACAGGCGTTCTCAGAATCCTCAGGAGAAGGCCATGCCCACACATCGGCCTCATTGGCTGTGACCTGAATGACGGGCTAGAATCCACCCCTTCGCAAGTTGATGGGAGATTATGTAACCGCCACACCTACGTACAGTTAGGGAGGTCCCTGCCCTCCTACCCACGCCTCCCCTCACATACCACCCCCACCCCCACCCCTGACTCACTCATTCTCACTCATTCCCTGTGCCTTGTCTCCCTCTTCTTTCTGCTTCAGTGCGCTCCCCTCCGGGGCTGGCCAAGACGCCTCTGTCTGCTCTGGGCCTGAAACCCCACAACCCTGCGGACATCCTGCTGCACCCCACAGGCGGTGAGTGATCTGGAGACGCTGGTGGGAAGGGGGGGCGTGTCTCTGCCTAGGGGCCTGGGACCACAGATCCCACAGACCTGGGGGGTGGGGTTCATTCAACTTTCAGCTTCCTCTGATTTGGGGACTTGAAGACCTTAGTCTCTTTCCTTGGCATCGTCAGCTCTCTGCCAGAAGCCTGGCTTCCCATCCCCAGCGTGCAGGCATACATGGATGCCTCTCTGTACATGTACCCTGCTGGAGAAATTCAGCCCGGTTACTCTGAGCCAGGGGGCCCACTTCCAGCCCAGATGGCTCTGCTCTGAGGATCCTTAAGATGCCAGCGGCCTGGCAGCCATTTGTCCTCAAGCTCATCTGTCCTGCCTTCAGTGGCGCACAAAATGCTGCTGCCAGAGAAACCTGTGACTCCCGGGCAAGCGGGCCCCTCATCCCTGGGTCTGCATCACTTTGGACTCCTCCCCCTTCCCTGACCTGGATCAGTGGTCCCTTTTGCCACACCCCCAACACTGGACAGTGCTTGCCCTGCACCTGAGGAGGGCGCCCAGGAGCTTGGGGCCTGAGGCAGGAAAGAAAGAGACCACCTGGCTGAGCCACTGCCCAGCTCTGTCCTGACACCCTGTCTTGGTTACTGTGGAAGAAGGGAGGGGTGGGGGACCCTGCTGTGGAGAAGGGTCTCCCTGGGCCCGAGCTCATACCCCCAACTTCCCCAGTTGCCCTGTTCCCATGGGGATGGAGAGAGTGGTGGCCATGGTCATTAGTGACCACTGGAGTAGGCCAAGCCCAGAGATTTCCCTAGATTGGTTTCCAAGCTGGGCCGGGGCCGTGGGAGCCAATCCTACCTCTTTCTCTTAGTCCCCAGGAGAGTGATCCAGCCAGGTAGGAGGGGAATGGCATGCCTTTGGGACCCACCAGACATGACCTGGGCACATCCTCCCACGCAGGAGGTGTCTGCATGGCCGAGGAAAAACTGAGTCACGGGCTATGGAGGGGGTTGGGAGCCTGCCTCTCACTAGGCTGGCACACGCCTGCCAGAGACACGGTCCATGCAAGCCTTGGGTGGCCCAAGGGTGGGACTCACCTCACTCAAGTGTGAGCAGGTCTCCTTTCATTGTGCCACCTGGTCCCTCCGGGGCCCTGGACCTGGGGAGCCCTGTGTGGGCGACACTCCCTCCCCCACCTGGGGCTCCTCCAGGGCCAGCCAGCTCTGCCCTCACCTCCCCCAGCTAGCCCACCCCCTTTTCTCAGCAAAGTCTCTCTCCAGACACCATCCCTGCTAACCTCTCTCTCTCTCCCTTGTGCTCCTCCTCCACCTCTATCACCTGCCTCTCTGGCCTGCCTCTCCTCCCTCTCACCCCCTTCCCATCTTCCCCAGAGGAGGATGAGGGGCAGGGGGTGCCTGCGCTGTGTGAAGGTAAGTGTGTGGCAGCTTCCTGTCCTCTGGGCCTGGGGGCGGCTTTTCCTGTGGTGCTTGTTCTGGCCGGCCAGCGAGGCAGCTCTCTTCTGACCGGCAGTCAAGTGATTAGGCACATTGTTTCCTTATTCCCACCCCAAGATCAAGATCTTGGACTCCACATGAGTCCTGGGTGGGGACATGTAGTCAGCAGGCACAATGAGTGCCTGGGCACTAGGGCAATGTCACCTGTTGGGTGAAAAGCCCCTCCCCTAGTGGCTGTTCTGACAGCATGCGGCAGATTCCTGCAGGGAGGGGCCCAGGACAAACACACAGAGGCAGAGGCCATGTGCTCATTCCACAGCAGGATTGCACAGCCCCCCTGGCCTCTGCCCACGTGGGGCTGGTCGTCCCCCAAGTCACGACGGTCAGAAATATTTCTAGGCCCGGCCATGTATCCGGAGGAGAATTGCGCCCATTTGAGAGGCCCCTGCCTCAGAGCTACAATTGGGTCTCTTAAAGCCCATATCTGGTCTCCTGTCACCCCAGAAGGCACGGAGTTTGCCTTGCCAGAATCTTAGGCACCTTTGGGAATTTCTGGAAAATCCCTTGGTGGCTCTCTGGGATACGTGTTGGGCTGCCAACTGCGAGGTCCGTGCTTCAAACCCACCAGCTGCTCCTAGGGAGGAAGAGGAGGCTGTCTGCTCCCATTAAAGAAACCCTGCACCCAGGGGCTGTGAATCAGAGGGGGCTAGCTGGCAGTGGGCTCTGGGCTTCTCCACCTCAGGAACCCTGTTGGTGCGGTGGGTCAGCACTGGGCTGCGGATTGCAGGTTGGGCTTCAGCCCCAGTAAAGCTTTATAGCCTCAGAGGTTCTCCATCAGGGCGCTCCAAGTCGGGACAGGGAGCGGTCTTTGTGGATTATTGTCAACAACAGGTGCATCATCTGGCCTGGAGCTTCAGAGGGTTCACATGTCAGTGCGCCTCAGCTTAGCTCTGGTTTCCCATGAGTCCCTGTCTCGTCCATTGGGCAAACAGAGCAGGGGCATCATCGGGCTAGGCGGCTGACTTGGAATTCAAGCAAGGATTCAGACAGCGGCTGCTGTAAGGGCAGCCGTCTGGGCCACCTGTGGTGGTTCTGGGCATGGGTGTCGCCATCTCCCCCAGGAGCCCTGGGCCCCAGGTCGGGTTCCATTGGATGGATTTGGACCAGGAGCTGGACGGGATTGATTTTCTGATGTCCCAACTGTGGTTCCGTTTGCCCTGGTTTCCTTAAACCCTCCCTATCAGGTGGCTCTCTGGGGCCCAGCTCTCACTTGCCTTTGCTTCTGTGACCTTGATTGTCAACCCCAAAGTGGGCCTGGTGTGTGCCCCTGTGAGTCAGCTGCCGCCAGATTTGACGGCTGGGGCATCCCAGAAGGCTTTGCCCATTCCAGCCAGCCAGGGCTGGAGAACAAGGCCGCACTGGCACCGGACCTCTGCATGGGGTGAGCACTGTACATGCTGGGCGGCTGGGTGTGGCTTCTGGCTCCCCGACCCTCAGACCCCGAGAGAGGACTTGCCCTCAAACTAGACACTGCAGATCCCCAACAGGGCTACAGCTGGGACGGGGGCCTGGGACAAGCTGGACCCCGAACAGTGTTAGGCTTTCAGATACTAGGTTTGGCATCCAGGTCCCATCCCTTCCCAGGGCTAGGTAACATACACGGGCCTCAAGCCCTCTATCGGGAAAGTCTGAGGGATGGGCGAACCCACGGGCTAAGAGGGCCTGGTGGCTGTACTTCTCTTGGGGAGAAAGAACCGAGACATGCCCAGTGCACCCCGTAAAGGAGCCCTAGCCTTCGAGGTCCTGAGCTGGCCCCTCCATCGGTCACCGAGTCAGAGTTTGAAGGGTCCTTAGGAACCACCTCTGTCCCACACAGCATCATCACAGGAAGGGAGGGAGAGCACTGGGTGCCATGGTCCACACTAAGAGGGCATCTGCTCCTGGTCATGTCAGAAGGCCACAGAGCTGAGGCTGGAATTAGTGGTCTCCTGGTCAAGTGGCCATTTGAAAGCCTAACTCCAGCCTCCAGGCACCATGCCCTGGGATTCCAGTGTGGGAAGCAGAATTGCTGTCAGTGGCCAGGGAGTGGGCATGGCTCAGGGAGCAAGTTGCAGGCAGTTGCAGGCAGCCAGCCAGCTTGCTATTTCCTGACTCAGGCTCTGCCTCCTGGGTCAGGCCAAAGGCACATTCTTTCCTGACCCTCCACTGCTTGGCCTGATTGCCCTGGTCTGATGGGAAATTCAGAAGAAATGTGAGGGGGATGCTCAGAGGCACCGTCATTCAGAGAGGGGAAAGAAGGCGCTGTTCAAGACTGCCATTCATGCATTCCCTGGGTGCATCAAGTCAGTAGATATTTGGTGTGCCCACTCTGTGCCAGGCACTGTACCAGCCCCAGAGGGCGCAGTGAAAAGTGACACGAAATATGACCCTGGCTCTCATGGATACCGTACAGCAATAAAACAGAAACAAAACAAAAAACCCTAACTGAGCTTGAAGAATAGGTGTGAGGGTGAGTGGATGCTGACTGGCCTGGTGCACAGGAAAAGGAGACAGGAAAAGGGCACGTGCCAAGGCCCTGGGGTGGGAGGGGGACAGCATGCAGTGTAGAAACGGCAAAGCCAGTAGCGCAGGAGTGCAAAGCAAGGGGGGACTAGAGGCTGAACAAGCAGGCTGATGTGGTGTAGGGAGTGAGGTCAACCAGAGGAGTGTGGTAGGAACCCCCTTTGGCCGATGCAGAGATGAAGAGGAAGGAGTCCGATGTCTGCCTATGCCAGACCCAAAGCAGCCTCCTTTCATTCGGCCCTGCCGGGGACAGAGGACATGGTAGACCTCTAAACAGGTACGTCCCTAGCATCAAGAGCTCCCTTCCAAGAAGGAGGGCAAGGAGAAAGCCTGCAGTTGTGTGGACGGACAGACGGAAGTCATTATCGAGGAGACAGAGCGGGAGTAGTGACTGCAACTTCTTTCCCAAAGAAACGGACACAGGGAGCTTTCAAGGCAGGTGCTGCTGGCTGTGTGACCAGGTGGGGCCAATGGGCACAAAGGAAGACAGGGGTGTTACATAGAGCCTCTCTTGGGATTCTCCCTCCTCTGCCGTCTATGGTGAGAAATGTCCTATGGGCATGTGGTATTTTTGGAGATGCTGTCCAGGGCAGATATATTAAGCACCTATGTGCCGGCCTTGTGCTGGGCTCTGAGCGTGTGTATTTCCATGTAGGTGGGCGCGGGGCCAGTCAGGGTAGGAACGAAGTGTTACAGGAGTGCAGAGGGAGGGGAAGTGTTACAGGAGTGTAGAGGGTGGGGCATGGGGCTCAAGCTGGAAGGTCTGGAATTGGAACATGAGCCCCTGGATCTGGGGTTCTGGGGTTTCTTCCTCTCCTGCTCCCACCCACCTATCTGTTTCCTTGTCTCCAGACCCAGGGCCATTCCAAGAGGCAGAGCATGCACCTCAGAGAGCGAGTGGCAAGCTGGGTTGAAGGAGGCGTGTTGCCTGCTGGAACCAATTCCCTCTGGTGCTTCCAGCTGCTCTCAGGCGCCAGTGGCCACTTGGGCTGGGTTTGAGCTCCTGGAATGTTCCTCAAGAAGGAAGTACTGTCCCTGGCCCTGCCTCTCCGCCCTCTCTCAGTCTGTTCTTCCCTTTACCTCTCTGGATGCGTCTGCTCCAGGACCGGAGGAGAGGATTGGAGTGGCGATGGGAGAGGGCATTCCAAAGACACACCTAGGGGGTTGGGCAGGCCCCTGCAGGGCTAGTTCTAAATCTGTAGCGCCTTAGTACTGACCTTCACCGGTTGCCTTCCAATTGACCCTGAAGCACGGTGACACCCCATGAGCATCAGAGTACTGATAAGCAGCTCCATTGGCTTTTTGGTGGCTTCGATGGCCAGATCTTTCTTCCTGGGCTCCCGAGGGTAGACACATGGCCCCCAACCCCCCAGCCTTTTCATCAGCAGCCAGGTGTTTTTGCGCCACCCCCTGTGGGCTCCAGCCTCAGCACTAACAGGAAAGGATCTGAACAGGTTTTCTTATCTCTCGGCCCTTGGCGCTGGCTGGATACATCACCCATGAGGAAGCTGAGGCCCAGCAGCTGGCCCAGGGTGCCTGGGGTGGGGGTGGGCGGGCAGGGGAGAAGCCAGGGGCTGCGGTCTACAGTGTGGGGGCAGCAGCTTCCGCACTGGGACTGTGGTCCTGCAGTGGGGAGGAGAAAAGAAAGCCGAGGAGCAGTCAAGGAGAGGGTGCGTTGTCACTGGGGTGCGTTGGAGCCCGGGCACTTGAGGGAACGGATGATTTGGCCCAGGAGCTTGGAAAACCAAGTAACTCTGGAGGTTCACCCCAATACAAAGTCAAATAACTCCCCCTGACTGTCCCTCTCTGCAAAGGAAGCTTTCTGTCTTGATTTGTGTGGCTCCCTGTCTGCAGACAAGGAGCAGGTGGGGGAAAAAAAGGATGGGGTGGGAGGAGAAGGAGGAACTCTGTGTGTGTGTGTGTGTGTGTGTGTGTGTGTGTGTGTGTGTGTGTGTAGAGTAAGGTGAGGGAAGTCCTCAGGGAGGAGCTGGGCAGGAGAGGGTGTGGACAGAGCCAGGGTGGGGCCAGGCTCTGCAATCTACCAGCCAGCAGCCCAGCTGTGGAGCTTGGTCACCTCCACTCCCCAGGGCTGTCTCCTGATATGCAGCTGCTCCTGCCTGGGTAAGCCGTCCTGCCCCCCACCCTCCACCACCAGCTGCAGACCCCAGAGACTGTTGGGAGCTCCCTTGGCTGAGGAGGTTGAGGGGTGGGCTGATGGACCGAGCCTCACCTCTCAGAGTTTCTGGAACAGTAAGCATTCCCAGTCTATTTAGGGTTCCACGCAGCCTCTGTACACGCTGACACCAGGCTGGGGTCATCAGAAACCACCGGTCAGCTTGGTCTAATGGTCAGCAGGCCAACCAGGAATCGCACATGGAGTCCCCGGCTCTGACCTGACCAGCCAACCTCACACCCAGGACTGACGGACGAGCAGAACATGAGTCCTTGGCTTGGCTTCAGTGTTGTGTTGGGCTCATCCAGCAGGGGATGGCTCGGCTCACACAGGTGGGGAGCTCAAGGAGGGCGGTCTCTTTGAGGGCGGTCTGGGCAAACCAGAGAGGGATGGTGACTCTCCCCTCTCCCAGCTGCTTCCTAAGGGAAGCAGGGTGCCAGTCCCACCCCAGGCCTGCAGGAACCAGGAGAGAACAGGGCTCTGGTCCTGGAGAGAGGAATGTGGACACTGAGGTCCTGATTTTTCTCTCCTCCCTCCCTTCCCACCAGTCCAACCCATTGGCCAAAGGCCAGGGCCTCTGCAGAGGGACAAGTGGGTCTGCGGGTGGGTAGCAGTTGGGCCAAGTCGGCCTCCAGGGACAAAGAGTAGCAATCAGGAGGCTGTCAGTGGGCTGGAGCTAGCACAGACCTTGTGGACGCTTCATACTGAACTGTCAGCAGGACCGGCAGACAAGGAGAGAGACGACTGAATGAATGTGCTGGTATCCCTGTGTCTGGATAGGGCTGCAGGTCTTGTCTTCATTCACTTGCACAACAGCCACATGCGAGGTCTCGCTATGGGCCTGGTGCTGTGTGGGGGTCTGGGAATAGAAATCAGCAAGGTAGGCTCTGGGCACTCAAGGGGTGGGGTTGGGGGGTGGTTGGTTGGCCATGGAGCAGATGGACCCCTAGCAGTCCTTGTGGGAAACGGAAGGGTGCTGAGCACTTCTGGAACCCAGCGGAGGTGGCCTGGAGTGCCTGGGAGCGTCCAGAGGGGTTTTCAGAGAAAGGGGCTCAGGGTGCCCAGGCCAGGTGGTCCTGGCTCTTGATGGCCATTTCTGTGGGTGCAAAGCCCTGATGGTTTCTTCTGTCATGTGGGGTGACCTCAGGGCAAGGATCCAGCCCCCCACCTCCCCCCAGACCCATCGAGGCTCTCAGTGCCTGACTTCTGGCTGGCCTAGCGTGCAGTGCCAAGAGTGTGGTCTGTGGCCAGGCTGCCAGGGTTCCCCACCCAGCCTGCCATCTGCTAGCTGTGCAGCTCGGGCATGCCATGTGCCTTCTCCAAATCCTCCTGTCCTATTTTTATCGTTTTGATGAACCCCGGGGTGTTGACTCTTGTCTAGGCAGAGGCTTGGGGGATGCTGTGGGCAGAACAGGGGTCAAGGTTGCAGTCACCTTTGGGAATCCCTATGCACTGGGCAGCTGCCCGCAAGGTCACCAGACAGAAGCCACCAGCTGCTTCTAGGGAGAAAGAGGAAACTTTCTACTCCTGTGAAGACTTACAGACTCGGCACCCTGCAGGCCGTTCTAGCCTGTCCTGAAGGGTCGCTGTGGGTCCGAATTGATTTGATGGCAGTGATTGTGACTTTGGTGAGGTTGCACCCCCTATGTAGAACCTTCTTCCCTAGAGGTTCTGTGAGCCGTGGGGGGTTGGGGGGAGGGCTGTACGAGGTGGCTTCATAGTGATGGTGAAACGTCCCAGCATCTTTAATTCCATTTTTCACCCCACAAACGTTTTGAAGCCCCCTCACTATTACATGTCCTTTGTAAACTGCTAACTGCAAGGCAAGGTCAGAGGTTCAAACCCACCTGTCACCTCCTAGGGAGAAGGATGAGGCGGTCTGCTCCCGTAAAGATTTGCAGGCTTGCAAACCCTACAGAGAGGGTCTCCACGGGTTGGCATCCAGCCGATGGCAGTGGGTTTGGGTGTTTGTTGGTCTGCTTGGTTAAGTGGCCGGGCATAGAATGTCCAGGCCTGCCAGGAGCCGTCCCCTTGGCCCTGGGGTCAGTCTCGGGAGGAATGCTGTGTGTGTCAGGCTGTGCTGGAGGGGCGTGCCTTTGCCCTGGAGCTGGCTGTTGCCCGTCTGTTGCTAGGCAGGCAGGCCTGAGGGTTTGGGGCATGGGGAGGAGCCTGCGTGAATACTAGCCCTGGCCTGGGAAACACGCAAGGCCAGGCTGGACGTCGGTGTCCATTTAGAATCCAGCTTCTGAAGTCGGGGCTGGGGAGCTTCAGGGGGCCCTGGAAGACAGGGTCATTGTAGAAACGAAGCAGTTAACGGGCCCACCAATGTCCTAGTTCTTGGAGCAGGGGGAGGCTCCCTGATGGCCGTGTGCAGAGGCAGAGCCCAGAGTCCATTGCTGGGAGCTTTCCTGGAGTCCGGCGCTAGTGAAAGGTGGCTGCTGGACCTATCCTAGCTTCTCCGAGACCCTGGCCTGGGGTGGGCATGGGTGGCAGGCACTCCGGAAGAATGTTCTCTGTCTGCATGCCTGGTCATTCCTGTGCTGCCTTCAGCCGTCAGCTGGGCCCTGGGTAGCCCGTGTCCCTGTGGGTCTGTGCTCAGCACCGCTGTCTCCTTGCCCCTTCCAGAACCGCGGAGCTATGTCGAGTCTGTGGCACGGACAGCTGTGGCTGGGCCCCGAGCCCAGGAGCCCGAGCCCAAGAGCTTTAGCACCCCAGCTGCCCAGGCCTATAGCCACGAGATGCCGCTGAGGAACGGCACGCTGGGGGGCTCCTTTGTCTCTGCCAACCCCCTCTCCACCAGCAGCCCCATCCTCAGTGCGGACAGGTAAGAAGGGGGCCTGGTGGGTGGGAGATGGGGGCCAGGCTCTGGGCAGGCTGGGTGAGGCTTCTCGAGTCTGCCTCAAGTGTGGACAGCAGGGATCAGACCCACATGCTATCCTGTCATGCAGCTCATCAGTGGGAGTGGATGAGGCACAGTTCTAAGGCTTGGTCTAACACCATTCATCCAGAACGGGGCTTGAAGGGGGGAACCAGGGCTTCAGAGTGGATGAGATGTGACCACACCCCCTAGGTTTAAACTCTGAATACCAGCCTTCACTGGTGTGCAGCTGTGCCTCCCTCAGGGCAGGCATTGCACTTTCTAAGTTCAAGGGTTTAATCCACACAACAGCCTTAGGAGGTATGCCCTGGCATTATCTTCAGAAGGGGAAACTGAGGCACAGAGAGGTGAAATAGCTTGTGGGCCAGTCTAGAGCCCATCTCTCAAGCAGCCCCCACCCGCCTCCCTGCCCCAGTGGTCTCATCTACCTCGGGGCAGGAAAGTGCTTAGGGCCCCGGGCAGGCGTCCCTAGTTCTGGCCAGGGATGCAGAGGGCATCGCTGAGGCTGGAGGTGTTGGTGGTGAGTCTGGCAGGATGGCGACACAGGCCCGGAAGTGTGGACACGCCAAGAGCTGTCGCCTGAAGGGGAGGGGCAGCAGCAGGGCGAGTGGAGGGGGACTTTGGTGGAGGGGCAGCCTCCAGTTGGGCAGGGGAGGGTGGACATTCCTGCTCGCAGACTTTGAAGATGGAGGGCCCCCCATATTGGGGGTGTCGTGAGAAGCTGCATGGCTGGAGTAGAGGGGGGCATGCAGAGGGGGTCAGTTCAGGCAGGATGCCGTAGGGTACCCGTGTGATCAGAGGACCACATTAGTCTGCCCTAACTGGAACTCACCCCCAGAAAGGAGCCTCTCCCCTGTCCTCCGGCCCCTACTCCTTCCCCCTAGTGTAGGGTCCTGCCAATTCCTCCTTCATACTCCACAGGCCAAGCCTAGGCCTTAGTCGGCTGCAGACCCTACATTGGTCCAGTGTATTGATTCCTCTCCAGGGTGGGAGGGGCCTGGGTGACAGGAGGTTTCCTCTGGGCTTCTAAGAATTCCGAAACCTCTGCCAGGATGTTTCCCCAAGCCCACCTTGCCCACAGCTCCGTTTCTCAGGAGGTCAGCTCTGGGCTGCAGGAAGGCCATTTCTCTGACCTGCCCCAGCACCCCCACCCCACCCCTGCCCGTTGCTGATGTTCTGTGGGCTTGGTGTGTGGAAGTCCTTCTTTGTTCTCATCCACGTTTCTCCTGCTGTGCCATTGGCCCCTCTTAGGACTCAGGAAGGGAGTGTGTTTTTTTCTTGGGCCTTAATTTTTCGGAACTCCCATTTTGCTGCGCCCACCCCCCATCCTCACTGCTGGCTCAGCTTCTCTACCTCCCATGTCTCAGACCGCAGTGGATGCACTCCAGGCAGTGGGAGGAGGGTCCAGGCAGGCTTTCTTCTGGCCTGGCCCTTTACCCTGCCCTTGACCTGAGAGCACCCAGCTTCACAAACTTCTCATCCCCCAGGGGGCACCCAAACCTGCCCAGCCTCCCTGCTGTCTCCTTACAGCTGCTGTTACCCAGGGTCCATGCCAGCCTTCGTCCCCTCTCCTACATGTCACGGATGGGCAGAGGTTTGGGTCTGGAAGGAGGGAGGCCCACATGATGGAGCCCTTCGCCGTCCACATGGGAGGATGTTAGCAAGCGGAATGCACGGGTCCTGACCCCCAGGCCTTTGCATTGGGCTTCAGGGCTCCGTGTGAACATGTCTTTCAGTGTAGCTGTTCCTCCAGGCACAGTCTCCTCCGAACTGCATCTTATCAGCATCTTAGAACAGACTTCTCACTTCATCTGACTTAACCTCTCCATCGAGGAGCTCACTCCTTGCCCACATCCAGGTCAAGAGGCCGGCCACCTTGTGTGTAAAGACTCCGAGTGCTGAGAGCCTCCTGACAACACCAGAAAACTCGCTTCCTAAGTGGCCAGGGGCAATGGCTAGAAAGCAGGCGGTAGAAGGAGCTGGAAAACCCATATTGGAAGTCTCCCCGTCCACCCTTCTCCCACCCCCGGCCCCTCTGACCATAAATCCTTGATTTTGCTTCCTAGAGCCCCTGCTCCAGCCTTCTCCATAGGTTAAGGTTGGTCACCTGACAGCTGGGAGGCTGAGTGAAGGCAGGGCTACTTTTCGTGGGAGCGGACAACAGGTGTTCAGTCGAACCCCCTTCTCTTTGACTTGGGTCTCAGGAGTCTCCACAGTGCAGTGGAGTGTGAGTGGGGTCCGCACTAGACAAAGGGAGGCTGAAGCCTCAGGGGTCTTCTTGGGCTGTGTGGGCCTGAGGCACTGGTTTAAGCTTTCCGAGCCTCTGTTTCTTCTGCTGTTCAGCGAGGCTGATGTATGCCCACCTGGGAGGCTGCCCTGGTGGTTCCGTAAGGTGACTTGTAACACCCCAGCATGCCTGCGCACAGCACGTAGAGCTACAAGGGGGCTTCAGAGCGCCTGGAAAGTTGAGTTTAAAGACAATGAGATCGATCAAGGAGCCGCCCTTGGGTCATCTCGGGTGTCCAGGGCTGGGGGGCGGGCGGGGCGGAGGGTGGAGTGTGCTGGGACAGCGACCTTTCTTGCCACCCTGGGTGACCTGTCCCGCTGTTCCCCTCTCTGCCCTCTCTCTCCAGCACTTCAGTGGGGAGCTTCCCATCTGGGGAGAGCAGTGACCAGGGCCCTCGGACCCCCACGCAGCTGCTGTTGGATTCCAGTTCCCGCTCGGGAAACCTGGGCCAGCCCAGCCCTTTGGCCCAGAGAAGTTACCAGAGCTCGTCGCCTCTCCCAACCATGGGCAGCACCTTCAGCGGCCCCGATTATTCTCTCCAGCCATTCAACTCATCTCCAGACAGCCAGAGCCGGCCTCAGTTCAGCGTGGCTGGGGTCCATGCCATCCCTGGGAGCCCACAGGCACGCCATAGGACAGTGGGCACCAATACCCCGCCAAGCCCTGGCTTTGGCCGGCGGGCTGCCAACTCTGGCATGGCTGCCCCTGGGAGCCCGAGCTTGAGCCAGCGCCAGGTGGCGGGGCCTCTTGGGAATGCAGGAACGGGTTTCCATGGCAATATGGTCTCTAGCCCCCAGAGCAGTGCCACAACCACTCCAGGGAGTCCCAGCCTGGGCCGGCACCCAGCAGGGCCCCCCAAGGCCTCAGGCTTCCATGGCAGTGTGGCGACCACTCCAGGGAGCCCCATCCTGGGCCGGCATCCTGGGACCCACCAAGGCAATCCGGCCTCCAGTCTCCATGGCAACACAATAGCTAGTCCTGGAAGCCCCAGCCTGGGCCGTCACTTGGGGGGCTCTGGATCTCTGGTTCCTGGCAGCCCCAGCTTGGACCGGCATGCGGCCTATGGTGGCTACTCCACTCCTGATGACCGGAGACCCACCCTGTCCCGACAGAGCAGTGCCTCGGGCTACCAGGCCCCCTCCACTCCCTCCTTCCCGGTCTCCCCTGCCTACTACCCTGGCCTGAGCAGCCCGGCCACATCCCCATCGCCGGATTCAGCTGCCTTCCGGCAAGGGAGCCCCACGCCAGCTTTGCCAGAGAAGCGGAGGATGTCCATGGGAGACCGGGCAGGCAGCCTCCCCAACCATGCCACCCTCAACGGGAAGGCGTCCTCCTTGCCCGGCACCAGCGGCATGTCCAGTCCCAGTGGGGGCAGCACCGTCTCCTTCTCCCACACTCTACCGGACTTCTCCAAGTACTCCATGCCAGGTGGGCCTCTCCTCTCTACCCCTGCCTCCTGCTGCCCTGGGTGGTCTCCTGGCAGCCCCTTGGCAGCCACCTGGGGCCTATCACGGACCTCTGAGGCTCAGTCTCCCTATCTGTAATGTAGTGGTTCTCAACCTGTAATGCAGTTTCTCATGTTGTACTGACCCCCCAACCATAAAATTTATTTTTGTTGCTACTTCATAACTTGTCATTTTGCTACTGTTGTGAATTGGGCAACCCCTGTGAAAAAGTCATTTGACAAAGGGGTCGTGACCCACAGGTTGAGAACCGCTGGTGTAATGGGAGTTCCAGGTGTCCTCAAGGTCACCGTGGGGGTGAGTGGGGGTGGCGGTGGGGCGGGTGAAGATGCAGATGAGGGTGATGGTGATGAGGGTGATGAATGTCATTGTGACCGCATCTCTCTCGCTATGGTCGAAGCTACCACCGTTTGCGGAGCATCTATGACAACATCCTGGGTTCCTAGCGAAGTACGGTCTCATCTCAGCTTCGTGACCAACGGATAGAGTAGTAGATCTAGCTCTCACTGCCCCCTTTGACACCTGAGCAGAGCAGGGCGTGAAGAGGGCCACACAGCGAATAAGTGGCAGGGCCAAGATGCCAGTCCAGGCCCGTCTCCAACACGTACTTTTTAAAAAAATAAAAGATTTTATGGGGAGCGCCTACAGCTCTTATCACAGCCCATCCATCCATCTATTGTGTCCAGCACATTTGTACCTATGTTGCCATCATCATTTTCAAAAACATTTTCTTTCTACTTGTAACTCGCGCTCTGAAAGCGTGCCAGAGTGGTGTCACAGGAGGGTCACCGTGCTAGGCCCTGGTCCTCCTTACGAGGTCACTTACAGAGTGCTCTGTGCCCCAGTACTGATCCCTGCTGTTCTCACCTGCCCTCGGTCCCTCCATCAAAGATGTGCCAATCAGATGTGAAGGGGGCCGAGGCCAGGGCGGGGCCTTTCCATTGGAATCTAGTTCTCTCCCACCCCGCTTTGCCGCCTTGGCCTGTGTGCACTTCCTTCGCGCAGACTGGCCTCCTTGCCTCTCCTGGTAGGGGCTCCTCTTTCTGAGGCGAACTGGTTTGTCACGAAAGACTAAGCCCATTTCGATTTTCCTTTTCCTCCTGTTTTTTTGCCCTTTTTTCTTTTTCCCTAAGCCGCTCAAACCGCTATTTAGGTTTGAGGCATCAGGAATCCGTAGGGAGTTTTTAGTAACATGCTATCTGTGTATTTCCACAGTCCCTTTCCAGAAGGGAAACCCGCCACAATATCCTGTTGAGCCTCCATATATGTGGTTCTTTGTCCCTCCCCCACCCTCCCTAACACAGAGTCAAGGCCTCTGCAGATCCGCAGCATCTTGGCCAGGCCTGGAACCTACCTAAGTCCACAGCCACTCTGGGCCTGGGGCGTTCAAGGCCATTTCCAAGGTTTCAGGGAGCCTGGGATGGGCCCCAGCTGCTGAGTGCCACTCCCAGGTCCTGATCTAGACCATGGAAGCTGGGACACCTACGGTGACCCTACACACCCCTGCTTCCTGTCACTCACCAGGAACATCTGGTCCCCAGCTCCTTGGAGGCTATAGAACTTCTAGTCGCTGGAGTACTTCCTGTTTCCCACCATCTTCCCTGCTCAAAATAGCTCTGGAATCAACACAGGAAGGCACATGGGCCTGTAGTCCCATCGGACAGCTCATTAAATAGCCCAGAGGAGCAGTGGGGGCTGGGAGGCTTGGGAGCCCAGGGAGACCAGCATGCAGGAGTTGCAGGGCCCAGCTGCCTAACCCAGAGGCCTGCCAGGAAAAGGAGCTGCCCTCTACCTCCTCCGGGAAGACCCAGCTCCCAGAACCCCCAGACACCAACCCATTGCCACAAGTCCATTGTGATGGAGCAGGATGGAGTAGACTGCCCCGCGGGGTGCCCGAAGTGGTGATCCCTGAGAGGAGCAGACTGCCACATCTTTCACCCATAGAGCGGCCTGTGGGTTCAAACGGCTGACCCTCCATGAGCTATGCCCACAGAGTCCCTCCCCAGAGTCTAGCAGAACACAGATCCCAAGTTGAAATGCACCGAGCGCCAGACACACGACCTTCCACTCCCACCCCTCTCCAGCTTCTGAACCACTGGCTCCCGGTACTCCCATCGCTCTCTGAAGGAAGGAGACAGGGGATGTGGACTTGGAATATTCCTTTCCGCACTCTTCCGCCTCCCACCCTCCTTGTCAATGGCTTGACGCTCAAAGATCTTGCAAACGGTGGAGAGTCAGGGCCACGACTGAATACCTGGATAGGAAGATCTGGGGTGCTTGTCCTGAGCTGGCTACTGGGACCTGCTTACCTGGGAAGGTCTTCCTCGAGCATGGTTTGGGAGAGTCACATCCCCTTCTCTGACCCTCACTTCCCTCATGTGTGAAATGAGGTGGGAAGACTAGAGGCTTTCCAAGCTTCCTTCCATGAGCTATCGAGTCCAGGGAAGGGAATCTCTCAGGGAAGTGAGGCCCGAGGCCCACCGTGGTTGCCCTTACATTCTAGCTTGGCCTTTCAGTTCTTTGTCGCAGATGGGTGGGGGTGAGGAGATTTGGAGAGAGGGGGTCAGCAGAGCGTCTTTGGAAGTATGAGTGACGTGTCTCCCTGCATCCTCAAGGCTGGTCGGAGAGTAGTGAGGAGAGAGACTTATGAAGAAAGCCCCCAGGAGCCGGCAGTCACCCTAGAGGGAAGAGGTGGCGGGAGTCAGAGTCTCCCAGAGCAGGGTTCGGCAGACTTCAGGTCTTAGCCCAACGCGGCGCTTGTGGCACGTACATGTGGCTCTGAGGTCAAATTGAAACGTTTAAGGCTACTATTCAAATCATGGACATTTCATGTGTTTGTGCAAATAAATTCACGGCTCTTGAATCATTGTGAAATTGTCGAGAGGGACAGGACTTCCACCTCAAAAGTTTTCCGGCCTCCATTCTAGAGGAAGGATTTTCAGAAGACTCAGCAAGAAAGCTGTGCCAGGCCTTTCGACGGGAGAACAGCCGGGCGATGGAAGCTGGTGGTGGGGGGAGACACAAATGGATGGAAAGGCGCTCCCAGCCCCTTGCTGCTTACTCGCCTCTGAAGGTGCTGGGAGCACGCCAACTTCCCTTCTCTTTCTTTGTCTTTCAGACAACAGCCCCGAAACAAGGGCGAAAGTGAAATTTGTCCAGGACACTTCCAAGTATTGGTACAAGCCTGAGATCTCTCGAGAGCAGGGTGAGTGCTGGCCTATGCTGGGTCCAGGGGGCATCAGGGGGACACAGCAGCGGGCTGCTGGGAGGACCAGGTCTTCCCTGGTCCAAGAGCACAAGCTGGAAGAGACCCTCGTGCCTCCTTCCAGGAGACCTGGGGGGAGCAGAGACAGGGATTGCAAGGGGTCCTTCCGGGGGTCCTTAATTGTTTAAAAAGTCAAGTGTTTAACCAGAGTTAACACTTGTTAACAAGTTCTTGTTAACAAGATTTCTGCACGTTACAGAGAAAACAAGGTTGGAATGTTGGGGTTGCCGATGGAGTCCCCATTAAGCTCCCAAGGACAGGGTGTGTGGGTGACGGTCCGGAGTGGGCAGCCAAGGCCATGGCCCGCAGGCAGACTCTGCCTGGTTTTGTACATAGGGTGTGACTGGCATCCAGTGATGTCCTGAGGTCTGCCTTTGTAACACAGCGGCGGAATAGAGTAGTCTCAACAGAGAGTGCAGAGCCCAAGAATATTTACCATCAGACCCTTTACAGGAGCCCTGGTGGCTTAGGGGTTATGCATTGGGCTACTCACCACAAGGTTAAGAGTTCAAACCCACCAGCCGTTCGTTGGGAGAAAGACGTGGTTTTTCCCCTTAAAGAGTTACTTACAGACTGGGAAACGCACAGGGCAGTTCTGCTCTGGACTGTGGGGTCTCCCGGAGTCAGAGGGGCTTGAAGGCAGCGAGTCAGTGAGTGAATGTGTTGACAGAAAGTATTTGCTAATGACTCGTTTTAGAGGACTCTCACCCATCAGATACCGCAAGTTCCATCTGACTCGTAGCAGCCCCCTGCGTCACATCAGTACTGTGCGCCATCAGGTTTTCAATGATTGATTTTCCGGTGGGAGTCGCGGGGTACACACCAAACCTTCAGGCCTGTCCTCCAGGGTGTTTTCAGGGTAGACTCGAACCCCCAGCCTTTTGGTTAACAGCCAAGCCTGTTAACAGGGTGTACCACCCAGGGGCTCTAGGAGACATCCTGGGACTGTTAGATTCGGATGTTAAGAAGGTCACTTCTCCTACCGTCGGATGAGGTTCCCATGGGCCCCATGGGCGCAAGTAGAGTCCATAGCATTCACTCACCTGTCCTCCCTCCCCAATGCAGCCATTGCACTCCTGAAGGACCAGGAGCCAGGGGCCTTCATCATCCGCGACAGCCACTCCTTCCGAGGGGCCTATGGACTGGCCATGAAGGTGTCTTCCCCCCCTCCGACGATCCTGCAGCAGAGTAAAAAAGGTAACTCCGTCTCCAGAATGGCTCCTCTCTCAGGACTGAGCCATCTGCACAGTCTCTTCCAGGGTGAGATGCTGACAGGACCCAGGGCATGGGGCGGGTGTCTCGATTCCCATCAGAGCGGGTCCCTGCCCTGACAGGGGCTCCCGAGGAGCAAGCCTTGGGCTTGGTGATGGCTGAGCTCACGGCATGGAGGTGCAGGATGGTTGACACTCTGTGATGATGATTCCTTGAATCCCTGGGAGGTGGGCTTGTAGGTGTGGGCTCTTTGCCCCAGAGAATTCTCACTATAGTTTCTCCAAGACTCCCTCTCTGATCGAACCCTGCATGCAGTTGGAGATTCTTAGCAAGAGGTGAGAGGAGGCCTTGAAAATGGATGGGTTGCTCTTTCTCTCTGTTTGTCTCAGGAGACATGACCCATGAGCTGGTGAGGCATTTCCTGATAGAGACCGGGCCCAGAGGGGTCAAGCTCAAAGGATGCCCCAACGAGCCAAACTTTGGTGAGTGATCCCCCTGTCTGTCCCTAACGTCTGGTCCCATGGCCTCAGGTCCTCTCCCCGCTCCCTGTCTCCAAAGTCTCGGCCCCTAGGCTGAGGGCTCTCCTGGCTTCCTCCAGGACTCTGACCCCACGTTCCTCCTCTTCCAAAAAAGGGTGAACAAACTATGGAAGTGGCTCTCTTTTCTCTATGGCAGCGGTTCTCAACCTGTGGGTCATGACCCCTTTGGGGGTTGAACGACCCTTTCACAGGGGTTGTCCCATTCATAACAGTAGCAAGATTACAGTGCTGAAGTAGCAACAAAAATAGTTTTATGGTTGGGGGTCACCACACCTTGGGGGGTTTTTTGAAGGGGTTTTGGCTTTGGGCGGTTTGGGACCCCTTGTTTTTTGTTTTTCTTTTTTTTTTTTCCCCCGCTCAGCTCAGACTCGTGATCATTTTAACAACAGCTATGACAGCAGCTGCCCCTAGTCAACACCGGCAACGTAGAAGTCCCGTGTGGGGTAGCCTAGGTCATTTCTGTCCACCACACGCATCTGCAGGATGGGCATCACCAAGGCTCTCAGACATTAGCCTGACCCAAAACACGCAGAAAATAAGTGACCGGCCAAGGTGTGAGCTCCGATTCCCAGGCCCCAGAGCTTCTGAGCTTTTTCTTGCTCTGTCCTGAGAGAGGCCCAGCAGTTGGCGGGTGATAGGTCAGAGAACCGGAAAGGATGGGAATGCTGTTAGGCATGTTTTTGGACTGCTGGAATCTTTTCCTTTGGGCCTGGGGGGTAGGTGTTCAGCTTGGTTGGGGCCGGACGAGGGCAAGGTCCTAGAGAAGCTGCAGGTGTCCTGGTTCCTAGGATGCCCTGGGCACCAGACCAGTAACCTGTCCTCTTGTGCTGTGTCTCCCACCCCACAGGATCGCTCTCTGCCCTGGTCTACCAGCACTCCATCATCCCATTGGCTCTGCCGTGTAAGCTGGTCATTCCAAACCGAGGTAGGAACGGGAGACTCCTTGCTCACCGGGCGGCCCTTGAACCAGCCTCCTTCCATGTGGCAGCCCCACCGGCCACTGGAGCACGGGCCTGGGTGGGAGGGTCCCTTTGCCAAAATGAGGAAAGGCAAAAACGCTCTTCCTCCTCCTTCCTCATCAAGAAGAAGGACACGCTATGAAGAAAGTGAACCCCAGGAACCCACGGCATTGGCCTGCCAGCTTGTTAGGGCGGTGGCTTCCGGAGGTTCCTGCTGAATCCGCAGAACAAGCTTCCTGCCGGAGAGGTGTCAGAGAGGAGACAGTCCCGGGAGGACTGTGCCTGGGGGTCGAGAGGGTGGAGGGCAGGGGAGATGGAAGGGAGGTTTAGATTACAGGGCAGTCGGATGTCCCAGCATTGGACTGCAGGAAGAGGGAGGAGTGCGCTGAAGGTTCTTTTAGAGCAGTCAGCGGAGGGGCTCTGGCGGGCATGCGAAGAGAAGGGTGGAGGCGGGCCACGATGTCCCTGGAGTTGCCGGTGTGCGGGTTGACTGAGGGGAGGTTGCGTTAGGGGAACAGGAGACCTCTTGAATCTGAGCAGGACCCAAGACCACCATGGCATCCAGGACAAACGTCTGAGTGAGTCACTGGGGCTGGAGAGGGGCCT